CGAACCCTTCCAGAACGGAAGTTTGTTCCGATGGTTAACGTTCCTCGTCCCATCTCTCCTACCTCGCTTGCCTCCGTGCGGGTAGAAACGAAGCCTGCACCTCTGTCAGTATGTGATGAGCATGAGGGGCCAAATCTGGTGTTCGAAGTGTGCGAGTGTAGGAAGGTGCACTGCTGCAGGGGCTGGAAAGCTACACCAGCTTGTCTTTGATTGTCCTGATGGTGTGGGCACCGACAGTGGCAGGATACGGTACCGGAGGAGGCGCGCCAGTGGCTCTAGCGCGGTGCTGCGAAAAAACATTGTCGGTCGAGGCTGAAGCTTTCACACTGCAGAGCACGTGACGGTGGGGAAGCTCTGCGACGCCTGGCGAATTGCCAGCCCCCGAATACCTCGGCCCAGCTTTGGCCCTCGGGAGACCCCTCAGGCCCCTCCAAACGCCCATGTCATCGACGGGCCTACAAGGATGACCCCTCCCGCACGATTGCTCGCGGCGATTCCCCCCGACAATCGATGCCTGCCCTGCTGGCGTGGAAAATTTGCTTGGGGGATTGTTTTGAAGCCACAGCACTGTAATTCCTGTGAGAAGGATCGGCGGCGAGTGGAGGGGGGGAAGTGAGAAGGAGGAGGAGGAGGAGGAGGAGGAGGAGGAGGAGGAGGAGGAGGAGGACGCGGTCGGCGGCCCAGGTGAGGGGCTCGGTCACGGGGCCGCAGCGCGTCGAGCCAGCCCGCGCCTGCGCCTCCTGTCTCGGAGCTGCTGGAGAAGCTGCCGTGCCTGCGCCCCCCGCTGTGGGCCGATGCTCGTCCTCTCCGGCTCCTCCTGTCTCGGAGCTGCTGGTGATGCTCGGGGGCGGCCCAGAGGGGGGCGTCCAAGGGCGGGGGGGCGCAAATCATGGCTGGCGGCATGTGGGCGGCCCAGGGGGGGCGCTGGGGGCGCATTGAAATAAGAAGAGGCGCCATGAAACCTTGGGAGATATCATGGCCCCCACCATGATATCCACCCCCCTGGTCATCACCCCCCTCTTGGCCGCCCCCGAGATGCTGGGCCCCGCGCAAGTCCAGAAGGTTGCCTCACGTTCTGAAGTCTGGATTTCTGTCGGGTGCGATTGGCTGCCCTCTGGGCAAGCTGCGCAGCTCACAGACAATCGTCTCCGCGGCCTCATCGCCCTGTGGAGGGCGATGATTCTGCTCGGTCGTCCGACGACCTTGTTGAGCTATGCCGTCATGTCCCTGATCCCGATTGACCCTCGTGATCAGCATGTCGCTTGCTTTGCTACGACGATTCGGATTCTCCTTCGCTGGCTACGCCGTACTTTCTGGTCAGCGATGTTCAGGTTCCACGGCTAGGGACTACTTGTTCGGCACGACGGGCAAGTCTGGCCTGGTACACGTGTGGCGGCAGGCAGTGATGGCCGAAGTGGTCCATGCACGAGGGTGGGCGAGCGTGACTTTATTATTCTGGGCGAGCGTGACTTGATTATTCGATGTAGCGAAGGCCTTCGAGCTGTAATCCACCAGGTCATGGTCCCATGGGCTCTCCGATTGGGCTTCAATCCTTCGTTGTTCAGGGTTCTCTTGGCGCTCTACACTGGCCCGAAGTTCAAGCTGCTTCAGGGCCCGTACGGAAACGTCGTCAAGGCCACCCGCACCATTAGTGCTAGTTGTGTTTTTGCGGATCTGCTGAAGCGCTGTATACTCGTCCACGAACTCGACGTCCAAGTATGCACGTTCAACCATGCCCAATTCGATGTTGTGGCCGAGAATATCCGAAATATCATGATCGGGACTGTTCGGTGTTGTCTGATCGGGCCTCTGTGGTTCCAGCAGGTTCGACACACGCCACGAACGGCAATGCACAGCTTCCCGTGTCTGTTGACCCTGAGAGTATGATCCTGCTGTGGCCCGATCCTGCGTTGGCACGAGACTCCCCTCAGCCGCTGGCTCAATTAGTAGGCCAGCCGTTGCCCTCTGCAGCAAGAAGTGTAGGGGTAGACTTTGCACGTGAGCCTCGCGGTCGGCTGCTCCGCCGCGTCAGACGAAGGCGGTTCAAAGAGGCTTCGCGGAGAGCGCGCCGAGCGGCAACATCGGAGACGGGGTTCAGCACGCCTCGCATTAAAGAGTTGCGCTCTATCGCGTGGCGCTCTCGACTCGGAGCTACACGTGTGTTTCACAGTGAGCCTAGCTCTCGACAAGATCGCGAATCCCGCCGTAACTGCCCATGTCGATGTAGTCACGATGCAATCGCGATGTAGGTTGCATCTCAGCGGAATGGTCTATTACGGTGGTGATTCTTGCATGCGACTGTCAACGTCTCTCTGGACACCCGTTGGGACGACATTCGAGAGCCCGCCTCTGCAGTAGTCGGCACACTGTTGACACTTGACTGGACCTGCACTTCGCCGTCACTGTGGGATACCCGCAGGACGTGGTACTTGTTGTGACCTGGGATGCAAAGGTCTGGACCTGGTGCCAGTCTACACCAAACCGCCCCATCTTAGCCAAC